GGTTATATTTCTTTGGATTCCACGAGCATTTGGGAAATATGGTACTACCTGTGTAATAGTCATTCAATATAATTATAGACATCCATTGTAAACATAATAATCATTATAACTTTTTTCCAAAAGAAATTAGAAGTCACAAATAAGTATATTCTTACCACAACTCGCACTGTTATATTCGGYAAAAGATGCGCAACACTCAACGACGTTGTTTTCTGTCAAAAGAATAAATCGCTTTAGAATTTTGCATCATCTCAATGGTCATTCGTTTTGCATTATTTCTACTATGATGATGATGCTGGTCACGTGACAATGATGATGATGATTATTATGTTGCCATGGAGATAGCGATTACATACTGATAGTATGGTTGGTGAGTCATTATAGGATAGCAATAATAGTTTATTATGATTATGATTATGATAACGATGAATGGTGATAATCAAAGCAGTGTAAAAGAAGCATTACAATAAAACAAAAGAAACGCAAAGGAATTAATTCAAGCTTATGACATAAACATAAGCGCAAGCATAATACCACCACCATAATATGATGGTTGAACCWAGTGCTGATGACTATGATCACACCAGAATGAAGAAAGAACGACGATCACCAAGCTGTTGACGATCCGATATATAGGTGTCACTACTCACCGAAATTACTATTGTCGGAAGCCAAATCCTTCCAAGGAAACGACGATTTACATCACCATATGCTACTCTATACCGTGTGACTTGTCCAAAAGGGAAAGTAGGGGGTGCCCAAAAGAATGTAGTGTTGACACGGAAGTCGTCGGTGATTTGCGGAGGAGAGTGGGTGAGATTACGCACTGCTCTTGCAGTGTCTGGTGTTGGCGGAGGATCGACTGAGGATTATATGGAGAACAAATAATTAAAGAAATGCAAAACCTCATCCCCAGGTGCCAGGGGTCGAACACACCTCGGGACTAGCTAAAAGTGTTAAAAACAAGATTTTTATAGAACTCTTTAGAACAAGTTTAATGACAAATTAAAGTAACTAGACTTACACGAATGACAAAATGTTTTGTTGAAGTTATCCACAAAACGACAGCCTAGAAGAGGTTAATAACAAATGTTAGATTTTTCAGTAGATTTTCTGACTAAATGTTTTAAAATTGATCTTTGTATTCTTATCCAACGATACCTTTATATCTGTACTTTAAAGTAGCAGGAAGACTAGGAATGCACTCTATTAACGCGTAAACCTAAAACAAGCAGTAAAATATACTTTGATGAATTTGTGCCGAGCACGATGATTGGCTGATTAGAACGATCTATCCCATTCACTTTATGGCCTTTTCAAGATGCGTTTTCCTGGTGTTTCTGTATCATATTTTTTTCTCTTGAGAACGGAATAAAGCGCGGACAAATGAACACTGTATATAGATATCGTGTCATGGGTTAAATCGGCAACATTTACTGGGACAGGACAAAAAGCGTATACCTTCAACGTATGTTGACAAGCTTTTAACTTCTCAAATAGGTGAATTGTTATATTCCTGGACGTCTGCGAATAACAGATGATGGAAATATGAATCGATTAATTAATGCTGTCTACACATGTCAGGAGCGTATTTTCAGGGCTCACACGGTGCTTGCAAGCACGCCTCCCCCATCCCTCATCCCCCATCTCAACAATTTAACGTCTCAAATCTTGCACTACTTACTTTAGCTGATGACGTCACTGATCGTGGAGGAGCGAAAGGTTGACAGAAGGCTGAAATCCATGTCATTCCATACTGGGTAATCAAGTGCTCTTGTGCTATAAAGGAAAACATATCGCATAGTCAAAGTTGTACTTGTCGTTGGGTTTCCTRTGTTATACACACAAACAAGCTTTACATACCTGAAGATGGTTCMACGGTAGTTGTTAATCGTAGTTTATCACCAAATGGTCTGGGATTATACCGAAAMCTTGGATTGGCAATATGGACTACTGGATTTGGCCTAGTCATCTCTGAATAATWATACAAGTATCAAACAATAGAACAATCTAGATGAATATATGGAAGTTCTTTCCATCTCTCCTTTCTCCCCTCTCAATCTTTCTTTCTACCTCAACAAGTTGTATTTCTTGATTACTTTGCAGTACTTAAGGACCTACCTATTKCCGATGACTCTGAGCTTGCAACAATACTGCTGTTTTCAGTCARTGCTACTGCAGTGAAATAGAACTTAATCCCATTAAACTTAAACCTGAACCTTGGTGCAAACATACAGACTTGCTTAACACTKAGGACAGCTTTGGCTTGGAAAAATACCAGCTAAAAAGAATAAATATGATAATGATGATGATTAGTAATGATAGTTAATAATAATAACAAAATATCTCGTAAAGTGAATACTCACTTTCGAGAAGTCTGACGACCTKACATTAAAATCCCCTGATATCCTTTCTTTTAACATGTAAACAACATTTCCTTCGCTGGTATTGGCTGGTTTCCATGACAATGTAATACTTGTGACATTCTTGGTCACTTCAACAGGGACCCCTGGTTTGTCTGTGATGGTGTTTTTGCCTTCTAACACATTCCCTTTTGTTTTCAATGCAAGAAGAAAGTCGCAGCTWTTCAGGCACATCTTGGAGTTTTTCTGTACGAAAAAAAATAAGATTAAATCACCAAAAAATGGTTACAAATAGTTTGTAGGCTTGGGCGTGGGAGTGGTACAGTAACAATCAAATGCTTGGGCTGCCTGTCCTTCCGGTTTAAAAATGCGCGGCCTACGCGACCGCCCGCGTGTGTAATGTGACAACTATCCAAAATGTCTGCCAGCAAAGACGTTGAAGAAGCATTCGTTATTCTTGACAAAGAAAAGCTTTCAGATATATCCTATCTTTCTGACGATGTTGGAAGAAAATTTCGTGCTGATTCGAAGAACTTTCTGTCGTTCCTGAATATCCTTAGGAAAGAAGGAGAATTAGCTGGGTTTTGTGATGTTGTGTTGGAGGTCGATGGCCAGTCGTTCCCTGCTCATCGCTGTGTGCTGGCAGTTAATAGTCAGTTCTTTTACACGCTTTTTACCAGTGGAATGAGGGACTCSAAAGAAAAACATGTAAACCTGCGTTCTCTTAATGGTTTGGCTGTCTCTGCAATTCTGGACTTTTTCTACACACGCGATATTGTAGTCGACAACGATAACGCAGAGGAGTTGCTTGAAGCAGCCAGTTTTCTCCTCTTGAATCGTGTGAAGAATGTATGTGCAGAGGTGATATCCAACAATCTATCCATTTCTAACTGCTTTTCTACCAAACGCCTAGCAGAAAGGTATGGCTTAGACGAGCTCAAGAAAGATGCGCAGTCGTTCATGAAGGAGAACTTCCAAGCAGCGAAGCAGGAAAAGGAATTTCTAGAATTGGAGGCCTTTGAGTTGAAAGAACTTATTTCTAGTGACTCATTAAGAGTAGAAAAAGAGGAGGAGGTTTTTAAAGCAATGATGAACTGGGTTAAGCATGATCTTACRAACAGATCCAAAGAACTTCATACTTTCTTACCGTGCCTGCGRTATGGMTCATTGTCTCCWGAATTTCTCGAAGAAGTGTTTGAAAAAGAYCCCATCTTTGAAGGCAATACTTTTTGYCAAACRGTTTTGAAACAGCAAAGACGACGACAACGTTGTGCAAGATCTAACAAGCAGCGTAATTCMAAAGAGAGGCCCTCGGCTAGTGTCCATGATGTTGTTATTGCTGTGGCAAAAGGGAATCGGCATACATCATTAATATATGATGTACAAAGTGAGGAATTCTACAAGCTGCCTGAGCCTTCAATGCAATTCTTTCAACAAGGCATGGCAATTATTGGAAGAGAGTTGTATACAGTATGCCGTGATAGGCGTGACTCAAGTGGACATGCAACTTACATGATGAAGCACAAATTAGGATCAGATAACTCACTTGTTGATCATTTCTGGGATGAAATCAATACAAGCCCCTTAAAGCCAAATGCATGCTATGACAAAGCAATTGTCTTGTCTTTCAAGGACAAGCTTTATATCGTTGGTGGTTGTATGGACTATGAAGGCAGATCGATAGACATCCAGTGCTATGATCCAGCTGAAGGAGAATGGAAAGCAATGGCTAACATGAACACTTCAAGATGCATGATTGGAGCTGTTGCTACAAGCAACTATATTTATGCATTGGGTGGAGCAAAACATCACACGGAAGTAGCAGAAAAGCTTGTTGAAAGATATAACCCTGATACAAACGAGTGGGCGTCCATGGCTGACATGTGTCATTCAAGAGTCATTCCTCAAGTTGTAGCTACTAAAGAAAGCATCTTTGCAATTGGTGCAACTGGTACTGACACACGGCAAAGTTGCGGTTGTGAAGTCTACAATGAATCATGTGACAAGTGGTCAGTTATTTCGCCATTACCCAGCAAATATCCCATGATTTCTTTGTCTTTGAATGATGAAGTTTATGTGATCAGTGGAGGGCAGTCTTGGAAATTTTCAAAGAAAAAGGAAAAATGGCAGAAATCTACAATGTTCAGAGCACTACAGCATGGCTTTGATGATTTTTACTTTGCTCAACTTAAGGTTCCCAAGTTCTGCTGTGAACAATATAGCACCACTACAGCTTATGATGTAGGACAGTATGACCTGAGTGATGACTACCAAAGCTCTGATGACAATGATGACGATGACAGCTTTTATGATGATGATGACATTGAYTGGAGGTTATTGGCAATGTTGCTGGCTTGAGGAGGAGAATGCTTATTATGATTTTCTCTTAAAAGATGATCATGGTAAACAAGTTACTGTTGAAATTTCTGACAAAAAATTTAGATACATCGTTTKGAACGCCAAAACCAATTTATTGGATTTGATAAATTATTACAACCAAATATATTGTAATATCTATTCTTTTAAACATAATTTACTTTTATAATGGACAMCAAGAAAATATTTAAGGAAAATTCAATTATATGTTCAGCAATTTTATTGTTATTTGACATTTTGTTAGCTACCTTGTAGCATGATTAAACACAGATTGAACTGCATTTAAAAGTCTCTAATTGATAYCTTTAACAGGAACAAATTCCCTCCAACCCTCTCCCCTACTGTCCCTAACTTTTCCTCTTTTATGAATCATTTCCTATGTTTCTCAAAATAGAGCAAACGCAGGAAAACCATGAAATAAAATCAAACTAAATACTAACAAATAGCGGCTATTTAGAGACAAATAGTCAGTATCAATGAACCAGAACACAATGAAGGTGAATCCATGTGGGACCATTTTTCATCCATCTTTAATTATTGCATTCTGGTTCATTGATAGAGTACTACTAAAAGCGTGCAATGCTTTACACTATTTACTGCAAAATAGTCCTAATCAAACTATAGAAAACAATAGAATTACCATAATTTAGCAGTATTTAGTAGTATTTCTGTTGTACAGTTTTAGTGTTGGTACTCCAGTACTGACGCTTTGTCTCTAAATAGCTGCTATTTGTTAGTATTTTTTAGTTTGATTTTATTTCATGGTTTTCCTGCGTTTGCTCTAATCTCTATCACTTAGGGGTAAACAAAATAAGTATTTGGGATATTATTCCATTTATTATGTCATATATTTGAGTATTGTAAATGTATGAAAAGCATAAATAGACAGGGGTCCCAAAGTTGAAATTTGATCATAARCTTGGGTTTCCTGTGCTTCAAGTTTCGCGCCAAAAATCGTGGAAGCGAGGCACAATTCAAGATGTCKGCTATAGATGAAGCGTTTGCTCTTCTTTACCAACAAAAGCTGCCCATGGAAATAGTAGATAACGATTTCGACGAAAGYGGATTTTGCCGAAAGTTCAAAGGTAGTTCTTCCAACGTTTTGTCGTTCCTGAATACTCTAAGAAAAGGAAAAGAAGCTGCGTTTTGTGATGTTGTGTTGGAGGTCGACGGCGAGTCGTTCCCTGCTCATCGCTGTGTGCTGGCTGCTAATAGTCAGTTCTTTTCCACTCTTTTTACCAGTGGAATGAGGGACTCGAGAGAAAAACATGTAAACCTGCGTTCTCTTAGTAGTTCGACTGTATSTACAATTCTTGATTTCTTCTACGGAGGCCATATCTTCATCCGCAAAGACAATGCAGAGGAGTTGCTCGAAACAGCTAACTTTCTCCTCCTGAATCAAGTAAAAAATGCATGTGCAGAGATGATATCCAGYAAYCTWTCCATTTCTAACTGCTTTTATACCAAACTCCTCGCAGAAAGGTACTCCTTAGATGATCTCAAAAGAGACGCTCACTCGTGCATRAAGGAGAATTTCCAAGCAGCGAAGCACCTAAAGGAATTTTTAGAATTGGAGCCTTTTGATTTGAAAGAAATTATTTCGAGTGACTCCGTGAGGGTGGAAAAAGAGGAGGAAGTTTTTCATGCAGTAATGAACTGGGTTAAACATRACCCTACAAAAAGAGCCAATGAACTTTCTACTCTACTGCCCTGTCTGCGGTATGGATCGTTATCTTCTGAATTTCTTGAAAAGCAGTTTAAAGAAGATCCCATCTTTGAAGAGATTTCTTTTTGCCAGAACTTTCTGATGCAAGGATGCCAKCTATCTGCARTATGTGAAAAGCGACCGATACCCAAAAGACCTTCCACTCGAATCCATGATGTTGTTATTGGTRTTGGAAGGGGRAAAGTCAATGCGTCATTCTGCTATGAAGTTCACACTGACCAGATRTATCAGCTACCAAAACCGCAATCACCAGTCTATCAGTTTGGTGCWGCAGCCATYKGYCAAGACCYGTATACAGTAAGCTGTGATGGAAAAGGCTGTAATCATCGTATAAGGTGTGATAGCGGCAACGTAAATCATCTGACGAAGCTTAGGTTAGGTTCAATTGATCCATTTGCTGGTCATTTCTGTGTTGAAATTGATACAAGTCCATTAAAAGCCAATACATGCAACAAGAAAGCAATTGTCTTGTCTCTCAAGGACAAGCTTTATATCGTTGGTGGTTGTATGSMCTWTGMAGRSAGATCAGTAGACATCCAGTGCTATGATCSAGCTGAAGGAGAATGGAAAGCAATGGCAAACATGAACACTTCAAGATGCATGATTGGAGCTGTTGCTACCAACAACTATATCTATGCAGTGGGTGGAGCCAAACATCATCCTGGGACAGCAGAAAAACTTGTTGAAAGATATAACCCTGACACAAACACATGGACTCCCATGGCTGATATGTGCTATCCAAGAGTCACTCCTCAAGTGGTTGCCAATAATGACAGCATCTTTGTAATAAGTGRAATCATGGCTTCTACAGGTCGAAAACTTTTTTTGTGCTGTTGTGAAGTTTACAGAGAATCACGTGACGAGTGGTCAATCATTGCAGAACTGCCCAGGCGATACCCAATGGTTTCTTTATCTTGGAATGATGAAGTATATGTAATTGCAGGTGGCAAGACTTGGAAATATTCTGAGGAGAAGGATCTGTGGGARAAATCTCYAACTCCAATGTTCAAAGCTCTGCAGCATGAGGGCTTTGGTGATTTCTACTATGTTCAACTCAAGCTTCCCAAGTTCTGCTATGACCAGTATAGAAAGATAACGTGGCGTAARGTGAATAACTATGACAGAAGACCTTTTGATGATGAAGATGAGTCCGATACTTCAGTTGATGAATATGACAGTTCAGATGAGAGTGACATTTCAGTTGATGATGATGATGACGATGAAAGCTTTGATGGGGGTGATTATTACAGTTATCTATGGTGATGATCCATATTAACATTAAAACAAACTGCCATCCTTTTGACTTAATTAGTCAAAACCTAGCACAAATATTGCATATATGTACACCTTATAAGTTTTTAAAAGATTGATATACTCATTAAAAAGTATATTTTGATTTTYTTTCTTTCAATATAGAAGCTTGAAGAGCATAAGTTTAAGTTCATCATATGATATAGTTGGTTTCTTAAGAGTGTAATTAATGTATGCCAAAATTTCAAGCATGTCCAAATTTTGCAATTAGTAAAAATATGATTGTTGTGTTTTATTTCATTTTAAAAGATTCATGCCATGTTTTGTTGAAGTGGCATCTCCTATACCATGTACGATAGATAAAGAAATTTTTACCTAATAAAAAAGTTATCTGGCATTTTATATGAGTTGTTAGTTATTTCCCCAGGATAGTCCTCTAAAGCATTTATGTCACATACAATGAACTAGGGGATTTGTTCAGGGTAAACAAGCAAATGGTAACACTGACCCTCGGACATACTCAGCCTTCAGTCTAACCAAACACTACGACATTTTGTTTGTTTACCCTGAACAAATTCCATAGTTCATTGCAAGTGACAGCTGTGGAGGACTTTTATGGATTACCGGCATGTGAGAAATGGACCCAAAGAGATAAACTTGGGGTTCCTGTACTCCCAGTTTCGTGCCCAAACTCAACCTCGTTCCCAGGGCTACTCTGCTCGCTTTTGAAACGGGAGAATCTACATAGCACTCAGTTGATGTAATATGTTCATAAAGATATAATACAAAACACATAATACAATAGAACGAGAAACAATGGAATACAACGCATTTTATGAATACATTACATCAACTGCGTGCTACCTAGGTCACCCCTTTTGAAACATTCTCGTACCCAGACCCTACTCTGTCGGCCTCTAGCGGCCTGTCCTACGACAACAGTAGCCCTGGGAACGAGGTTGGCCCAAACTCAAAGCGAGGCATCACCCAAGATGTCTCCCGGCAAGGACGTCGAGCAAGCATTCGCTCGGCTTGACAAAGAAACACTGTTAAACTTACAAGGCTTTGCTGATTTCGGTCGGAGATACGTTGGGAATACTTCGAACGTTATGTCATTCCTGAATGTCCTTAGAAAAGAAGGAGAATCTGGATTTTGTGATGTTGTCTTGGAGGTCGATGGCCAGTCGTTTCCTGCTCACCGCTGTGTTCTGGCAGTTAATAGTCAGTTTTTTTACACGCTTTTTACCAGTGGGATGATAGAATCGACCGAGAAACATGTAAATCTGAGTTATCTTAGCAGTTCGGCTGTGTCGACGATTCTTGATTTCTTCTACACGCGCGATATTTTTGTCAACAAAGAAAACGCAGAGGAGTTGCTTGAAGCAGCCAGTTTTCTCCTCCTGAATCACGTGAAAAAAGCATGCGAAGAGGTCATATCCAAGAAATTATCTATTTCTAACTGCTTTTCTACCAAACGCCTAGCAGAAAGGTACGGCTTAGACGAGTTGTCGAAAAAAGCAGACTTGATGATGAAGGAGAATTTCCAAGCAGCGAGGCAAGAAAAGGAATTTCTAGAATTAGAGCCTTTTGAGTTGAAAGAACTTATTTCTAGCGACTCAGTGAGAGTAGAAAAAGAGGAGGAAGTTTTTGAAGCAATGATGAACTGGGTTAAGCATAATCTTACAAACAGAGCCAATGAACTTTCTACTCTCCTGCCCTGTCTGAGATATGGCTCGTTGTCTCCTGAATTTGTTGAAGAACAGTTCAGAAAAGACCGCATCTTTGATAACTTCTCATTTTGTGAAAACTTTTTGAAACTGGAAAGGC